GTGCAAACCCCACCCAAAACAGTCATTTTGACCAATCACGTCTTTAACAAGCACCTCCCACAAAAGTCAAACAGACCAATCATGTATTTTCCAAACTCCGCCCCCACACCAAGAACCTCCCACTRAGTGCCTGCAGAAACCCSCCTTCTCAGCTGAGTCGCTGAAGTTGATTATAAGCCAGTGGTTGGCTCCGCCTTTCTGCATAAACARGCCCACAAAGTTCTGACCAATCCTCTGCAAGAAAAAAGTTCTACTAGTTGCCTGTGCACGGAACCGGTTCTCCAGAAAGATGGGATYTTCGCCACATGAGCGAGACAGAAGTTTGTCAATTTTGATGGCGTATTTTTTTCAAATAACTTAATTTTTTTGTAAGACTCATGAAATTTTTCTCTGTTTTTGTCCGTCAGCCACGTCCACAGGCTCCCTGAAGGGGATGGACAACACCAGAGGAGGYGTGTGTCAGACCAGATCCATGAAGCTGGTCCTGAGAGTCGGTCAGAGTAAGCAGCCGGTTCCTGTTTGTTCATTCAAAACTGTTGAATTTTAATATAAAATCATCACATCCTCTGAATTACGTAGGTCAAATAATCTGATCATCTATCAAAAACAGATAATCGTCATGAATTAAATCAAATCCTTTTASCAGCAGATTACAGTCGTTATCCTGCAGGATCAATGGATTGGAGTTTTTCTCCTCGTAGTAACATCAGATTTTATGTTTCGTYCACTTATCACGTATTTTTTTGCCATAAATATTTAATAAAACCCTCGTGCACATAAAGTCCCTGTTTCCTTTAATTGTCTTGATGACAGAAAAATTCATTTTATCCTTTTTTTCCAACACCTTTATGAGCTTAAACAGGTGTTGCGTTCAAATATTAAACACATGCAGCCTCTCTGTGGGTCTGTTTTTTACATCATAAACCTTCTTTAACCTAAAAAAATCTGAAGCGTTATTTGTATAAATTATTGATTAATTCTGCATCCGAGATAAAAAAAATCTGCATTTCGTGTGTTTCTCAGATCGTAACTGAGCTGTTTTCTTGTTTACAAACATTAGTGGTGTAAACAAACCTCTTAAAGCGAAAAAATGAAAGAAAGAAACGTAAGAAACTCAGCTGAGTTGAAATCTTGTTTTAATCCATGCAAACGCTCGTTGCTGTTGCGACAGCTGAACGGATCGTGTCCAACGGTTGGTTTTTTCTCTCTACATTCGTGCAAAATGGAAATTTTTTAGTAAGGCTGCTGGTGAATTAATGATAACYCGGCGAGGCGGAACTTTAAACACTCTGGTGTAAAGTCATCTGGTTGGGCTGCAGAAACGTTGATTAATGTGTCCTAATGAATCCATAAATTAAATGAAATGAGTTCATTTTATGTTTACTTAAAGGTCATAAGTAAGTCATTGTAGGAGGAACGTTCATATTTTGTGATTTTTTATCACAAAATGAAAGTCTCTATTGGTTGTTCTAAAATATTTTTTACTTTATTTAAGAGTCCAATACTTTTACATAGTTTTTGTTTTATATATTTTATATGATATTTCCAGTTAAGTTTATGATCCAAGACAACCCCTAAAATTTTAACTTCATAGACTCGTTCCACTATATCATCATCTATGGACATTATYMTAGACCTGTCAATCAATCGTGTGGGTTTGTCAGCAACTGACCAATTAGCGATCAGATTTTGWCCTGAAGCGAACCGCCCCGTACCCAGAGGAGCTGAACCCCCGACGATGCATTTGGGGTGCATCATTGCGGCTGCGTTGCGGTCWTAGAGATTAGTTGAAAAAATAATGATAGTAAATGGTTAAACGTTGTCAGTGACCGACATGCGTTKCCCAGAGCGTTTACAGCGGTGGTTCTCTTGGTTCTGGGGACCGCTTGCAAGGATGAAAAATTACCAGGGACCCCCTCCTAAACCTCAGGCTGTTTTAAAAATAATTTACTTTCATTTTAACCCCTAAATTCCATGGGAATATTATTTTTTTGTTTGGTTTAGTATGTTTGTTTGACTAGTGCATTGTTCCACATGAGCTTTTTTTTTTAATAAAAAACAAATTAACAGTTTATTGAAATTTTTTGAGGAACCCCAAGATACAGCTCGCGGACCCCTGGGGTTCCTGGGACCCTAGTTTGAAATCCTCTGGTTTAGAGGACAAAATAGAGTTTATTCCATTTCCTAAACCCAAATGGAGTCTGGAAAATGTAGACAATGGATAAAGGCCTGCAGCCGACCGCACGAACAGTGATTGATGGTAACTTCCACATGTTCGTCTTTATGAAGGTAACTGCAAATCTCACGTTTTGTCATAATAACGGTTAAAWTAAAATCGTCAGTCACTGTTTTCACTGTGAATTGTTGGAGGTTCGCTCTARCTGAAGTCCGCTTCCGCCTGGGTGMCGTAATCTTACGGTGAGCGTCATGTCAGTTGTGATCTAGGCTGCGGAGAGATGCATGTCAATCTTTTCTGCATCCCAGGAGGTATGCTAATGCTAACGCAGCTAGCTGCACAAAGCAGGGAACAAACAGCAGAAGTCTTACCCTGTGATTGTTTTCCCCTTAAATCAAACTCTGCATTTAATTCTGACGTGAAACATTAATGAGTCATGATGTCATCAGTGATTTTTGCTGAGTCATCATTCGACCGCCACATGTTCTGCTCTGTTCCAGACTCTTCAGATCCACTTTCAACACTTCAGGAGTCTCCAACCAGGTTCCCACCCAAGACCAAGACCTCCTCCTCCAAAGAAAAGATTGAAGGTAAACGTGGCACAAAATGAAAAATATGTTACTTAAAAAAATGTTACATAGAACTCTGGTTTGGACCCCACTGCTGGTTCCTGCAAAMATCTATAAATCATAAATTAACGATAATGTTGAAGCAGAAGTAAGTAGGGTTACTCATCTCTGGCGGGAAAAACATTTGGTCTGAAAAAATCATTTTGGAGCAACTTTTAAATAGTTTTTATTTTTAACACTATAATTTGACATTTTTATGTTATAATAATAGATTCAAAGTTTTCTTTCTATAATAAATAAAGTTATTTAGGTCAATATAATTCAGTGA